CCCAATCATATGCTTTCTATAAGAAATTCATTTTAGATTTAGGAAAACAGGCTGAACGTGAAAGAAAAAAAAAAAAGATAGTTCATACAAATGGTAATCAAAAGAGATCAGGGATGCCTATACTTACATCAGAAAAAATGAACTTTTAAGTCAAAAGTGGTCAGAAGAGACAAAGAGGGACATTATATAATGATAAAAGAGTCAATTGGGAAGATATGACAATTATATATGTACCAGCATCAGAGAACCTATGTATATATGTAAAACAAACACTGAGAGAACCGAAGGGAGATATAGACAGCAATAGAATAACAGTAGGTGACTCCATTACTCCACTCTCAATAATAGATAAGCACCTAGACAGAACAATAAGGAAACAGAGGACTTCAACAACAGTATATAGCAGATAAACCTAGAAAACTTGTACAGAACATGTCATCCAATAGCAGTAGAATACACATTCTTCACAAACACATATCTTTCTCCAGTGAAGATAACATATTAGGTCACAAAACAAGTCTTAACAAATTTAAGAAAATTTAAAAATACCATGTACTTTTTTTTAACATAATGGAATGGAATTAGAATCAATAGCAGAAGGAAAACGAAAATTTACAAATATGTGGAAATTAAACATGTTTTGAACAACCATTAGGTCAAAGAAGACATAAAAAAGAGAAATTAGAAAATACCACGAGACAAACAAAAACAAAAACACAACACACTAAAACTTATGGGATGTGGCAAAAGCAGTACTAAGAGGGAAGTTAATAGCAATAAATGCCTACATTAAAAAAGAAAATCCCAAATAAACAACCTAACTCTACACTTCTAGTAGCTATAAAAAGAAGAACAAATCCCAAGTTAGAAGGAAGACAATAACAAAGATTAGAGCAGACAAAATAGAAGATAGAAAAATCAATGAGACTAAGAGTTGGTCTTTGGAAAAGATAAACCAAAGTGACAAACCATTAACTAGACTAAATACAAAAACAAGGAAGATGACTCAAAATCAGAAGTGAAAGAAGAGACATTGCAACTGATAGCACAGAAATAAAAAGGATCATGAGACTACTATGTACAATTATATGTCGAGAAACTGGATAACCTAGAAGAAAAATGGATAAATTCCTAGAAACATACAACCTACCAATCCTAAATCATGAAGAATTAGAAGTCTGAACACACCTATAATTTTTATGGAGATTGAAACAATAATCAAAAAACATTCAACAAAGAAAAGCCCAGGACCAGATGGCTCCATGGGCAAAATTTACCAAACATTTAAAGAAGAAATAACACCAACCTTTCTCAAACTCCTCCAAAAAATTGAAGAGGTGAAATACTTCCGAACTCATTTTATGAAATGAGCATTACTCTGATACCAAAGCAAGACAAAGACACCAAAATAAAATAAAATAAAACTACAGGCCAATATCCCTACTGAATATAAATGCAAAAAAAAAAAAAAAAAAAAAAAAATCAAGAAAATACTAACAAACTAAATCCAACAGCACATTAAAAGGATCAAATGGAATTTATTACTGGGATGCAAGAATGGTCTAACATATAAAAATCTCTTCATGTTATACACTACATTAACAGAATAAAACACAAATTACATGGTCATCTCAATAGAAGCATAAAAAGCATTTAATAAAATTTAACATACCTTCATGATAAAAAATCTCAACAAACTAGAAATAAAAGGAATGTGCTTCAATATAATAAAGGCCATACAGGAAAAGCCCACAGCTAACATCATACTCAATGGTGAAAAACTGAACACTTAGATAGGGAACAAGGAAAGGATGCCCATTCTCACCACTTCTGTTCAACAAAGTACTGGAAGTTCTATATACAGGAATTAGGAAAGAAAAAAGCTGTTTAAACAGAAAGGAAGAATTAAAATGGTCTCTGTCTGCAGATGACATGAATTAATAAACAAATTAAGTAAGGCTGTAGCAATCCAAATCAGCATACAAAAATCAGTTGCATTTCTATACAACAACAGTGAACTATCTGAAAAGGAATTAGGAAAGCAATCCCATTTGCAATAACAAAATTAAAGAATATAATACTTAGGAACAAACATAACTAAAGAGGCAAAGAACTTACGCACTGAAAACTACAAAACAATAATGAAAAATTTAAAGACAACACAAACAAATGGAAAGACATCCAATAACGTCCATGGATTTCTACACAAAATATCCCTACCACCTAAAGCAAATTACAGATTCAAAACGTCAATGTCATTTTTCACAGAAATAGAACAATTGTAAAATTGGTACGGAACCACAAAAGACTCTGAATATCCAAAGCAATCTTGAGACATAAAGAACAAATCTAGAGGCATCACACTTTCTGATATCAAACTATATTACAGAGATATAGTAATCAAGACAATATGGTATGGGCATAAAGACAGACAAAAAGACCAGTAAAACAGAATAGCCCAGAAATAAATCCACATATATACTGATCTTTGAAAAGGGTGCTAAGAATACACAATGAGGAAAGAATAGTCTCTTCAAAAAATTATAGTGTTACGAAAACTGAATATTTACATGCAAAAGAATGAAATTGGAAACTTATCCACAAAAAACAACACAATGGATTAGAAACTTAAACCTGAAGCTGTAAAATTCCAAGAAGAAAACATGGAGGAAAGCTTCATAATATTGGCCTTGGCGATGATTTTTCATGAGTATGACACCAAAATTATAGGCAACAATCTTAGCTGGTGTGACTCAGTTGGTTGGACTGTTGTCATGTGCACTGGAAGCCCACAGGTGTGACTCCAGGACACATACCTAGGTTGTAGGTTTGATTTCTAGTCGATGTCTGTCTCTGTCTCTTAAAGGGCCTGTGCATGGAGTTACCCAGACTCATTTCCTCTGAGCTCTAGCTCTGGGGCAGCAGCTTAATGGGAACCATGGCCACACAGGGAGGAACTGAATTGTCTGGCATCAGGGTGAGAGCTGGGGTGGGGGGGCAGCTTTCTGCCATATAAAAGTGCTGGCAGAAGCCACTGTTCCTTTTCTGAGACCATCCCCCACAGAGGTGGCACGTGGGTGCCACATCTGAGTCTCTATCAACCTGGCTCACACTCTTCACAGAGCCCTGGTGATTCCCTGAGATCCCACCCCACCCAACTTACAGGCCCGCCCAAGCCATTTCCAGTGGCTTTTCTATACAAATAGCCCCTCTTACCTCATACTTTGGACTTTCCTAAAATCTCTCAAACAGGCAGCATCTGGCTTCTGCATACCCTGTACCTCTTTCCCCAGGCCCAGCACTATTGACAGCCTTGGTTCCCAGCGTGTCCTCTCCTGGACATCTCCAAGCCCAGCACAAGTAGCATCCATCTGCAAATCATTCTGTAGCTTGTGCTAGGTGGCCCCAGGCAGGGCACAGGTGGTGGCTGACCTTGCACCTCCTAGGAGGCACCAGAGCCAACTATATGCTGTTGTTTTATAATTTAATTACTTATATATTTTAAATCACACAAGACATTGTCATTGTTGTTTGTTTTCTTTATTGATTTTTAGAGAGAGGAAGGGCGAGGGAGAGAGAGAGAGATAGAAACATTGATGAGAGAGAACATCAATTGGCCACCTTCTGCATGCCCCTCCACCCCCACTGGGGATTTGGCCCACAACCTGGGCATGTGCCCTGACCAGGAATTGAACTGGTGACCTGTTGATCTTTAGGTTTTAGTAATTTTACCATGTTGTTCATAGGTATGATTTTTATTGTCTTTTTAAAAAATACTTTGAATATATACAAATTGATTTTAGAGAGAGGAAAAGAGAGAGAGAGAGAAACACTGATGTGAGAGAAAAACATTCATCAGTTCCCTTCTACAAATGCCCAGACCAGGGATTGAACCACAACATTTAGTGTTATGCAGGATGATGCTCCAACCAACTGAGCCACCCAGCCAGGGATAGGTGTGATTTTCTTTATGTTTATCTTCATTGGGGTTCATAGTATTTGAATTAGTGGTTTGATAGTTGTCTGTCAGTTTTGAAACATTCTCAACCACTATTTCTGTTTTATAGATTTGTTTTTAGAGAGAGAGAGAGGAAGGGAGAGGGAGAGAAACATCCATGTGAGAGTGAAACATCTATTGGCTGCCTCCTACATGCCCCCTACCAGGGATGAGCCTGCAACCCAAGCATGTGCCTTGACAGAGAATTGAACTGGCAACTGTTCTGTGCATGGGACGGACACCCAACCAACTGAACCACACCAGCCAGGGCTGTTAGTATTTCTTTAAATGCTGTTCCTGACCTATTTTTGGTCTACTTTTTAAAAGATTTGGTTACAACCTCTTTTAGACATTTTCTCTGTAACCCTTACACCTCTGACACACTTTTTTCTATATTCCATCTCTTTTTCTCTCTGTATTTCATTTTCAATATTTTTTCTGACCTATCTTCCAGTTCACTCTCTTTAGCTTTGCCCTATCTTCCATTAAAGTCACCCACTGATGTTTTAATTTCACTTTTGACACATATTTATATTTATTGTTTTTAAAAAATGTTTATTTTTGTAGAATTAGAATTGTACATTTGAATCCTATATAATCTTACTAACCAATGTCATCCCAATGAATTTAATTTAAAATAGAGGGGAAAGCAGTGGTCTAAGACCACTCAACATGGCTTGTCTGTTAAAGAAAAAAAACCTCAAACACACATGCAAGCACATAAAAACAACAATAACAACCAAAACCAAAAACCCCACTGTTTTTCAACAGTACCCTCAAGCTACAACAAACACAAATTGAGAATTATTTTGTACTACTTCCTTTCTTAATACAAGAGATGCGCGTCTTGAATGTGTGTGTACATGTCTATTCAGCGGTTTACTGTTGACATGTTTGTAAACATATCAGTGTCACCTACACAAGTGTTTCCTTGTAACAGCCCTTATGTTATTGACCGTGGTGTCCCCCCTCCCCCCCGGCCCGAAAGTGCTCTGTTGTTCTCTCAGCACATGGAGATGGAGACCTTCATGCTCAGGTTGCCGCCTTCGGTGAAGTGCTCCACAGTGCCAGCATCAAAAAGCAGACAGTCACCCCTGCTGAAGGCCTCCTCCGGGTCCTGGAGCAGGGATAGAGGCGGGGCTTGCCACGCCAAGCACCGCCTGTACTTGGCCAGCTTCAGCTGGTAGGTGAACTGCTGGGCCTGGCCGGGGGCTCCGATGAACTGCACTACAGAGAAAAACTGCTGGTAGCCGTGGTAGTTCCTTTTCCCCAGGACCGTCATGAAGTGACCTCCGTGGCAGGACTGCACCATCACCCAGTCCAGGGCGCCGGGAAGGTGCACGTCGAAGGCCAGGAACACGACCTCCGCCCCCTGCAGGGACGTGATGACTTCGTGCTGCGTCAGGTGGGCCGACATGGTATGCAGAAGGCCTCGCCAGGGACAGACAATGCCGGGGCACGGGCAGCGGTAGGGCCGGAAGGTGCACAGATCCTCGTGGGCGGCTCTGCCGGTGAGCTGCGTGGTGGCCCTGCAGCCGTAGTGGGCGTACTGGCACGGGAACAGCACGGAGTCGGCCACCCTGTTCATGGCCAAGTTGGGGATGCGTCCCAATGGGCCCTGGCAGGTCGGGCAGCAGGTCACCCTCGAGCGACAGCTGTTGCAGAGGAGGTGGCCCCTGTAGCACTGGAAGATGGGCGGTAAGATGGACCCAAAGCACGCAGGACACTCAAACAGAGGGGCCAGGACAGCACTGGGCATGGCTGCACCTGCTGGGCGGTTGGAGGGCGCAGGACTCTCGGAGGGTGCAGGAGGGGGCGCTGGACCCTCGGAGGGAGTAGGAGAGGGTGCCGGACGTTCGGAGGGCGCCGGAGGGGGTGCCAGACCTTCGGAGGGCGCCGGAGGGGGTGCCGGACCTTCGGAGGGCGCCGGAGGGGGTGCCGGACCTTCGGAGGGCGCCGGAGGGGATGCCGGACCTTCGGAGGGCACAGGAGGGGGCGCCGGACCTTCGGAGGGCACAGGAGGGGGCGCCGGACCTTCGGGGGGCACAGGAGGGGGCGCCGGACCTTCGGAGGGCACAGGAGGGGGTGCCGGACCTTCGGGGGGCACAGGAGGGTGTGCCGGACCTTCGGAGGGCACAGGAGGGTGCGCCCTGGGGCTGCAGCGGCTCATGGCTGTGGGCACACAGGGCACCGCCCAACGCTCACCCGCCCGTTCGCTGTTCCACTATCTCAGGAAGCCCACACCTCTTCCCGGACCCCGCAGGGGGGTCACCGCCGGGACACTCACGGCAAAACGGTCTGCTGCTGCCTTGATCTCTGCCGCTGTCCAGGCACCCCAACAACGGTTGCCTTGTCTACGCCCTGGCTACACAGCTATTGCCACATCCGGGTCCTCGACCCCCCCCACACGCACCCTCGCGCCCAGCCGTTGCCGTGTCCGGTTCCTCGAGCGCCCCCTGCACGCCCCCCCACCCAGCCGTTGCCATGTCTGGGTCCTCAAGGCCCCCTCCCAACCCCCCTCCAGCCCAGCTATTGCCGTGTCCGGGTCCTCGAGCCCCCTTCATGCCCCCCCAGCCCAGCCGCTGCCGTGTCCGGGTCCTCGAGCCCCCTTCATGCCCCCCAGCCCACCCGTTGCCATGTCCGGGTCCTCAAGCCCCCTTCATGCCCCCTCAGCCCAGCCGTTGCCGTGTCCTGGTCCTCGAGCCTCCTTCATGCCCCCCCAGCCCAGCTGTTGCCATATCCGGGTCCTTGAGCCCCCTTCATGACTCCCAAGCCCGGCCGTTGACATGTCCAAGTCCTCGAACCCCCCCAGCATGCCCCCCTAGCCCAGCCATTGCTGTGTCTGGGTCCTCGAGCTCCCCCCTACCCCCCTAGCCCAGATGTTGCTGTGACTGGGTCCTGGAGCCCTCATCCTGTACCCCCAGCCCAGCTGTTGCCATATCCGGGCTCTCCAACCCCTCCCCCATCCCCTATTGCCATGTCTTGGTCCCCAAGCCCCTCCCCCAACCGTTGCCATATCCGGGTCCTGGAGCCCCCTTCATGCCCCCCCAGCCCTGCCGTTGCCACATCCGGGTCCTCGAGCCCCCTTCATGCCCCCCCAGCCCAACCGTTGCCACATCCGGGTCCTCGAGCCCCTCCCCCCTCCCCTGTGGCCATGTCTGGGTCCCCAGCCCCTCCCCCACACCATTGCCTTGTCCAGATCCCCAAGCCCCAAGCCCTTCCCCCCATGGCCATGTCCCGGTCGCCAAGCCCCTCCCCCATGTCCAGGTCCTCAGCCCCCCACCATGGCCACGTCCAGGTCTCTGAGGCCCCTCCCCCCAGCCCAGCGCGCACCCACTCCTGCTCCCGCCCAGGACCACCCACCATGGCAGGCGCCATCTTCTTTCCGTCTGCCTCCTCCTCCTCGCCCCTGTTTTTTGTTTCCAGAATGTTCCCTGGGACCTTCTGAAAAGTAGTGTTCAGGAGTATTTCCAATGAGCGTTTTCCTGAACGCAGGAAGCAGTTCTGTGAAATCCTATCATCTCCTTTCCGCGGGGGGTGCGGGGGTGCGTCCGTGGTCTGTGGTCTCTCCTGATTTTCCATTCATTGTGCCTTTGTGCTCCTCGGCCTGGTTGGATCGGGCTCCGGGGCCGGCTTGGTAGCTGCAAGACTGGGATGGAGATGGTGTGAGGCCTGGGCTTTCTCATCTGCACCCACAGAGGGCGGATGCTGCCCTGGGCCGGTGGTAGGCACCCGAGTCCCGGACGGCCTGCATCCAGCGCAACCTCGGGGTCACTGGATGCTGGCCCCGAAGGCTGATGGAGCCTTCCTGTCCGTGAGGAGCCTTTCTCCGTGGGGCCGAACACCCGAGCGTGGGTCTGGGGGTCCCCTCCTGAGGGCTCTCGCGTGCAGAGGTCTGGGGCTGTCGCTTTCGCCCTTCAAGAGCGCGGCTGTCTGTCCGCGGACTCTTGTGTGGTCAGCCAAGGCCCTCAGACGAGAACAGCCTCGTCGGTCTCGTTCTGTCCTGCCTCTGGGCTCCACAGTCCTGTAAGGCCTTGTTCGCTCTCGGGTGCCTTCACATACACTCATGACTTCTATTCTATCACGGTGTTCTGGTTTGCAGCAGGAAATGGGGTCTGCAGGAGTCTTCCCTAAGGAGAAGGAGACTCGGGCCCTCCTGTCTTCAACGAGAAGGGAGGGATCGCCTCCGAGGCATCCAGCACTGTACAAGCCCTGGAGCTGAAACTCTAGAACTGCTGACAGAGGATTTTCGCCATTGTGGAGCTTACAGCAAGTGAGCAGGCACATGTCATACAAGGTGATGATGCAATGAGAAAGAGAACTACAGGATGATCTGGAGCACTAAGGAGGAATACCTGGCCCAGACTTTTGAAATCAAGGAATGCTTTCTAGACAAAGCATCTTTTGAGCTTAGACCCGAAAAATAAGTGTGACTTGTCTAGATAAGACTGGGTTAGGCAGAGGGAATAACATGTACAAAGCACTGGAAGAGGAGAGAGAGAACATAACGTATTCAGGAAACAGAAAACTCTATAAAGCTACAGTGATCAACACAGTATGGTAGTGGCACAGCAAGAGCATATAGATCAGTGGAACAGAATTGATTATTTAGGAACAACCCTAACATTGATGGTCAGTTAATTTTTGACAAGTGTACCAAGACAATTCATTGGGCAAAAAGATACTGTGTTCAACAAATGGTGCTGGGGCGTATGTAGAAAGATCAATGCAAACCCTCACTATATATCATGCCCAAAAATTAATTTGAGAAAGGAAACTAGAATTTTGGTGGTGAGAAATCAATAGGATTTACAGATATTGAATTACATTTTTCTACACCTGAAATTTATGTAATACTATTAACCATGTTACCTCAATAAATTTAATTTTAAAATGTATGATAGGTATGAATTTAAGTATCAAAACAATAAAAATTCTAGATGAAAATGTAGGGGAAACTTCTCAAGACTTCGGACTGGACAGCACTTGTTAGATATAAAACCAAAAACAGAGTAAAAAAAAAAAAAACACAAAGCAAAATGATGAAACTTATAAACTGAACCTAATCAAAATACAAAAAAAAAAAGTGCTTTTAAAAAAATATTTAAAAATGGAATAAATGTGACAGACCAGGGTAAAATATTTCCAGAACCTATTCAACAAACTATTTATCCAGCTCTGGCTGAGTGGCTTAGTTGGTTGGAGCATCATTCCTATGTGCCAGGTTTGCTGGTTCGATTGGCAATCAGGGCACATTTAAGAAGAATCAACCAAAAGCTCGGCTGGTGTGGCTCAGTGGCTGAGCATCAACCCATGCACCAAGAGGTTGCCAGTTCGATTTCATTCAGGGCACATGCCCAGATTGTGGGCTAAATCTCCAGTAGGGGGCATGCAGGAGGTGGCCAATCGATGTTCTCTTTCATCAATGTTTCTCTCTCTCTCTTCCCCTCCCTTTCTCTCTAAAATCAATAAAGAAAATAGAATCAACCAATGAATGCAGAAATAAGTGAAACAACAAATATCTGTCTGTCTTTCCCTTCTTTGTCTCTCTCTAAAAACATAAATACATTTTTTAAAGAACTTATATCCAGAATTTGTAAAGGTCTCTTGAAACACAATAATAAGACAACCTGAACAAAAAATGGGCAAACAATGTAAACAAATAGTTTAGCATGGAAATATTCAAGTGGCTAAATAAATACATGAAAGGATGCTCAGCATCATTATCCATCAGGGAAATGCAAATTGAAACCACAGTGGACACAAATACTGTGTGATCTCTGTTATATGGGGAATCTAAGAAAGTCAACAAACTAAACTCATAGATAGAACAGACTTTTGGTTGCCAGAGGTGGAGGGTGCAAGATGGGTGAAGTGGATAGAGGGAGTCACAAGTTTTCCAGTTATAAATGTCATGGGGATGTAGTGTACAGCATGGCAGCTATAGTTCATTGTACTGTATTGCATTTTGAAATTTTTCTAAGAGAATAGATTTTAAAACTTCTCATCATAAGAAAAAAATTTCTGTAACTATGTATGGTGACAGATGTTAACTAGACTTATTGTGGTGATTATTTTGCAATATGTACAAATATTGAATCATCTGAAACTTTTGCATCTGAAACTAATATAATGTTGTATGTCAATTATGCCTCAATAAAAATAAAAAACACAATGGATCTGTGGCCAGTGTGGCTCAATTGGTTGAGTGTCATCCTGTGCACCAAAAAGTCATCAGTTCAATTCCCTGTTAGGATACATGCACAGGTTGCAGGTTTGGGAGAAGTACCTGGATGTGGTGCATATGGGAGGTAACCAATTGATGCTTCCCTCTCTCTCCCTCCCTTTTTATTCCTTTCTTCCTAAAAAAGTTCATCAAAAACTTATTTTTTAAAAAAGGATGAATCTTTTACAAAATAAGCACACTGGAGATTCCATTTCACATTTACTACAATGGCTATAATGAAAAATGCAATAAAAAGTGGAGATATAGAGAAATAGAAACCTTCAAAACCTTCCTACATTGCTGATGGGAATGTAAAATGATGCAGCAGTTTTGGAAGACAGTTTGGTAATTCCTCAATACGTTGACTCAGAATTACTACATGACCCAGCAATTCTACTACTATGTATATACCCAAGATAAATGAAAGCATATATTCACACAGAAACGTCTACACAAATATTCATAACAGTGTTATTTATGGTAGCCAAAAAGTGGAATCAACCCAAATGTCTTATGGTTAAACAAAATGTAGTGTAATATTCTATACAATGGAATATTATTGAGCCATAAAAAGGAATAAAGTACAGATACATGCTATAACATGGATGAACCTCAAAAATGTTACACTAACTGAAAGAAGCTAGTCACAAAAAAAAAAAACAAAAACACACAATGTATGATTCTGTTTATATGAAGGATCCAAACTAGGCAAATGTGTAGACCAAAATTAGATTAGTGAATACCTGGAGCAGATGGAGGGAATGGGGATTAAGTGTATATAGGCATCAGAGAACTTGCTGAGGGAGGTCGTTGGAAGGAAGAAAATATTCTACAATGGATTTACCATAGCCAGAATGGTAGTAGTGGAATTTTGGTAGAGTTATTAAAAATCATTAAATTGTACACTTAAAATGGGTAAATTCTATGGTATGTTAATTATACCT